TATTTTCACTACGTAAGCACCCGTGTGGCCAGGGATGGGTTTTTAGGATCGGAAAGAGTTTCCATACCATTCAGCATTGCTTTTTGCTTCCTTTCCTCGGTCTTGGAGTGTGTGGGGAGCTGACAATTAGTCAGAAGACCGAAGGGCAGCAGCCGGACTCGGCTCTCGTCCGCCTTTTACTCCGCTTCAGCCCCTTTGCGCTCCGTCCTCCCCCGTCTCTTACGCGGTGGGTAGTGGTTGCCCACAAGGGCGCGAGTCTCATCACAGCCCAAACCTGGCAGCCCCGGCACCCGCTTGGTTCCACAGCGTAGGGAGACGAGCAGGTGAAGACGCTGGCTTGTGTCTGGACTTGAACCTCTTCGTTGTCGCATCTTTGTGCAGATTTCCAAAGTCATTTTCAAATGATTGATCACCTGGGAGAGCGCACCCCCCAGACAGCAGGTCAGAAATGTGGCAGGAGTCAGCTGGGACACCCAACCCCCCAGAGCATCAGACCCCGGCGCGAGTGCCGGGCAGTGCTCAGCTGACCGCGCCTGCAGCCAGCAGCGCCGGCCCAGCCCAGGGACTGGCAGGGACAAAGGGAGAAGCACCGTAGTGTCAACAGCTGGCATTTACGGGACACCTGCCACGTGCGGGCACCGCACCCCGCACCTGCGCTGTTTCTCGTGTGATGCTTTGACCCTGTACCCACGCGTGTGGATGGGGCACAAGTTAAATGATTACCTAAAACCACGTCAAACCACACCGGAGCCGGTGATGTTTAGGTCCCACGACCGACAGACAAAACAAAAGACAGGTCTTGTTTCTGTGACTCAGTGAACCGAATGGCTTCTCTTTAAAAACGCGGTGCGGTGCACTAGCACCCATGAGCGACGTCACCGCGTCTCCTCTGCGCCACGTTAAGCTGATAGTGGACACGCCGAGGAAGCCAGCACGGGTCCTAACCTCAGAGGTGACCCGTCTCCGTCCGCACCAGCTGCGACGGACGTGCAGCAGCCCACGTGTCTGACGGGCCTGGCCGTGGCACCCTTGCCACGCTCGTGAGCGTGAGGCCCCTGAGGACGAGGCGGTCACCTGTGGCCGCCCCAGAGCAGCGCAGTTTCCCAGCCCAGCCGGGCACAGGGCGTCCGTCCTGTGTCCCTGCTGCCTGTCCTCTGCAGGCCGAGTGTGAGTAGGAGGGCTTTTCCCAGCCCTGTGGGGTCCGGCCCAGCTCCACAGGGACGTAAGTGAAGCCGGTTTGGGTCTTGGCAGAGACGTGTGACTCGGTCTTGCTCCTCTCCCTTGGGCACAGCCTTCCAGAGCCACAGTTTTATTTTAAACTTGGTCAGAGAAGTTTGGTTTTAATTATGTGCCTCCCTGAGCTCGCAGCAACTTTCAAGTTAAAAGGTTTGTGGGATCTTTCTAAGCCCATCCTGGTGTCTTAAGAACCGTGCACGTTTCGCAAATGAAAACCAGCCAGATCCCGTCCCTTCCCAGACTGCCATCGAACGGATGGTGCTGTCCACTCTGTTCTGTTATCATTAGAAACAGGTCCCAGCCGCGGAGCTGGCCGTGATGGAAGGGGCCTGCCTCTCAGATCCGGGCGTTTTGAAAGCTCTGGTCGGTCTAGCTGGCCGTTCTTTTTATTTCTGCTTTCTGTGTTCGTACTGGTTTCGAGCAGCCTTTGGTCTCCTCTGCTCCGGGCTCCAGTGACCATCCTGTGGCCCCTAACTGGGCCATAGAAGCTGTGGAGCTGTTTCCTTCTCCCGACGGTTTGTGTCCAATACAGACCTACCGGGGTCCGTGACGGCCACCACGCGTCCTCCTCAGTGGCAGGTGGGACAGGCCTTTCACGGGACACAGACGGCCCCTCAGATTCCTGACAAGAGCCGCAGCATAGTACGCGTTCGTGGCCTGCAGCGTGGCTGGAGGCCCGCGCCTGCTCTGAGCTGTGGGACAGTGTGCCGTCCACATAGGGTCCTCAGGCGCTCAGACCTTGAATTGCAGAGTGGCTGACCTGATCTTGAGAGCAGGACAGGCCGTCCCCAGAGAGCAGGTGGCCAGACTGCGTCCCCAGCCCCTGGAGGGCCCTGGGTCTGGCTACGGCCCCCAGGCCTCTGTCCCAGGGCTTCTTGCCTGCTGTCCACTCGGCTGACTTTCATGCCTCAAGGGTCCGCGATGTCCTGCTTGCCTCTTAGGACGTCACTTCCTGGCTCCCCCGAGTCCACTTGGGCAAGCTCCCCTGTGTCCTGCTCCCCAGAGTCGTTCGGCCATCCCTCTCCGTGGAACGAGAAGCAGCGTCAGGATGACTGAGAACTAACTGTGTGCATTTGACAGCAGGAGAAAGAGGGTCACTTGAGGTCAAGCCTCCTCGGATTCAACACCCTGCCCCCTGTACCCAAGAAACCCAAACTTTCCTCTCCCCAAATCCAACCAGTGTTTTCTCACCAAATACCAGATGATCCAGAAGCCAAGCCGAGCAGTAGTTTTTGAGGTCTTCCACCAGCCGACACGGAGCGTGAGCCGGGCGCCCTGGCCGTTCTGAGAGGCCGGGGCGGAGCCCCGAGGTGTGCACGTGCCTTCCCACTGCACGACGCCCCTTCCGGGCCGAGCCCACTCCGGGAGGACACCAGCCCGGAGCAGGCCCAGGCCGCCCCCCTCTGGAATCATAGCATTCTCGGGGTGCTGGCTGTCGCCTCTGCTGCATCTGGGCCCCTCTCACCAGCCCTGTCTGCTGCCCTCTGGCTGGGCTGTGTTCCCAGTGCCTCCTGGGGGTCAGACTCAGCAGGCCCTTGGCCTTGGCCGCACAGTTTACTCTCAAGTCCAGGCTCTGGCGTGGCACACCTGCAGTCCCCAGGGGCGGGGCTGACACCCAGGTGGGCGGAGGCGGCACTCCCACAGAGCTGGCGGGTCTGCATAGCATTTTCGGATATTAAGCAATTCTTGAAAGGGGATTGAAAAAGGCTTCCAGCGAGAGAAGTGCTCTTCCTTAGCGTCTGCAGAGCAGCGCTTGGTAGCAGGCTGTGCAGTCGGCCGCCCCTGGGACCCGCTGCGGGTGTCGGGAGCTCCCGGGTTCCAGCTCTCGTGTCTCCGACGCTCGACTCCCAGGCCGTGAGGGTGTCAAAGATGGACCACGTGCTTCTGCTGACGCCCCCGCTCACGCCGGGGGTCTTCACGCAGGAGGCCAGGACCGCCCAGCCAGGCTGTGTGCGGAGCGGGGCCTTTCTAAAGCGCGCAGGGAAGGATTTAGTACTCGAGACCTGTGCAGAGAGCTCCTGCTGGGCGCCAAGGCGTGCGTTCCGAGGACCCGCGAGGGGTTCCCAAAGGCATCCCGTGGGGAAGGCCGCCCAGTCTCCTGCAGCCAGGCGTGGTGCCCTTGCCTGCGGGCCCTCAGCAGAGCCGGGCCTCGGCGCTGCTGCTCCGCGGTGCAGGCTTCGGCGTCTGTCCTGTGGCGTCGTGGGTTGTCGAGTCCTCGCCTCTCTCCCTCCGTCTCGTGTGTGTGGCTGAGGGTTCTGATGTTAACAGCTCGAAAGGGGAAATATGTGGACACGTGCAAATCGCCTGCATTTTTATTTGCCTGAGCTCTTTAAAAACGTACGTGGAGAGAAGGTGAAGGTCACCAAGGCTAAAAATCAGCGCAAAGGGCGGGCGCTGTTTCCGCTGCCGGTCACGGTGACCGTGCGGCCGGGCTTGCAGGTGGCGGCCGGAAGCGGCCTTGTTCTGAGGCCTCGGCGCCACTGTCCTTCGTACGGTTTTTACCACCATCCTGGGGACCGGGCAGGGACTGTCCCGGGAGGTCGCGGGAGAGCCAGGAACTGTCCGGAGTTTCAGCGTTTGCGAGGTGCCGTGTCCACTCAGGGCCAGGGAACCCCAGGAAGTTCACACAGCGGACACCGAGACCATAGGGTCAGTGGGTCCTGGGGCGTGGGAGGCGGGGTGTGGGCATCTCCCTGACTCCCAGGGTGGGCGGGCACCGTCCGGACACAGCTTCGTGGCCATGGCGTGGGGTGAGCGGGAGCCGCCCCCTCTGCCGGCCGTGAGCCTGAGGCGCGTCTGTAAGTGAAGCTAGTAAGTGCCCTTTCTGCTAATGCTGGTTTTAATTTCTGTTCTGTTTTTGTCTCTCTTCTTCAGCACGAAAGACTCTCTAGGTAAGAAGCCGCGTCCCGCGCTCGCGTGGCGCTGTGCGTGCATGTCGGGCCGAACCCAGTGTCTGTCACGGCGCAGCCGCGCTCCTCACGCCCTCCCCGCCTGCCTTCCTGGCTCCACGGCCCCGCAGTGGTCCAGACTTCCTCACCCCACCCGCCTCACTGTGCGCGCCCCGCCCGCCCTGCTGCGTGCACCTCGCTGCTGGCCGTAGCTGTCCGAAAGTACCAGCGGGGAACGGCAGCTGAGGCACAGTGTGGCCGGGCAGGGACAGGGAGGGGGCAATGACATCTGCTGGCTCAGGGCCACTTCCCGGGGTGGGAGCAGGTGCCCGGGCTGAGGGGCATGCAGCCTCCGTGCTGTCCGGTGGCCAGGGATCCAGCTCCAGCCTTTGCCCCGGGTGCCGCTCAGTGTGATGTGCCGAGTGAACACGAGACCTGACTTGGATTGCTGAGTACGTCAGGGAGCGCCCAGAGCTGAGGGAGCGAGCAGCCCCCGTGGCTCCCACCAGTGCAGGCCCGTCTCCCGAAGAGCAAGCAGAACAGCAGAGGCTGTGGGCCACACGCCCGAACCTCTCCTCCACTGTCCCTCAGCTGGAGCAGTCGGGATGGGACTGGGGGCAGCTGCAGTCGTGGGCCGGCCTGGGGCGAGTGAGGCTCATGACTGGCTAGGGAATTGAGCTGGTTCTTCTTTAGGAATATGTCTTAAAATGTATGTGTGCATGGGTGCTTCCTCTGCTTACCCTCCTGCCAGACACCAGCTGGGGATAAATAATTTACACCTCACCCAGCAGAAAATTCATTTTGCAAAATTGGTGAGCATATATTGTCCTACAGTTAATTTCTCGTGAACTCTGCTACTTCATAATGGCCATTTATGAAAAGAGATCCCCTCCCCCGAGACTTCAAAATATGCTCTAAAACTGGTGATTGAAACAGCGAGGTGCACGTTCAAGAATAAACAAGTCTGTGGAGCGCAGTAGGTAACCCTGAACACTCACGTGTCTACGGTGACTTCCAGGCCCCGTGGCGAGAGCTATGTCGTGACCATTGGGACAGTGACTCGGTTTGAGAAAGTAGATCCTTCCCTCAAACCAGAGCGAAAACAAAACAGATTTCAGATGGGTTCCAACCGTTAAGACAGAAAGGTTTCACTATGAAAGTGTAGAGGAGATTATTTATGATCTTTATACAGGAAAGACTTTTCCAAGTGCGATACCATGGAGGTAGAAATTGTCAGACTTGATCATGTAAAATTTAAGTCTTCTCTAGTAAAAGACACCATAATCAGAGACAAAAGGTGGGAAGAAACACCTGCAGCGGGCATCGGTTTTGAAAGGCCTGCTACAGGGTGCTCGCGGTCCAAGAAGAAGGGTGAGAGGCTGTGAGCGGGCAACTCGGAAACAGGAGGATGGGGAGCCAGAGCTGCGGAGCCTCCCAGGGATTCGGAAGCGTGAAGGCCGACGGGCGAGATGCTTCTGGACCAGGAAGGGCCGACGTCCCGCAGGCCGGGCAGCGTGTCCGCACGTTGGCGCCTCCGACACGCCTGCCCCTGGACCTGGAGTTGGCCCTGACACAGTCACGGGGCAGACGCCCTGGGATCGGCAGACAGGTCTTCACTGTGACGTTCCATCAGCTAAAACTTCAAGACGGTGAACGTGGTCATCGACGGGTTCAGTCACCGTCAGCCGCACGGTGGGAGGCGGCGGCCATGTCGCGAAGCGGGGCGGGCCGCGTCTGCGTGTGTGCAGAGGAGCCGGGGGCCCGCGGCAGCACGCATCATCCGACCCGCGTGCAGAAGTATGTCGAACGTGGGTGTTTACTGCCCTGCAAGGCTGTGAACCGAGCCGGTAGTAGTGCTCGTCCCTGGGCAGGTCACGGGACGTCCTGCCTTGGACGCTTCGGTGCTGTCGACGTGTTTCAGCAAATCCGTAAGGCTTCTGGAACTGGACGTCGACAGAGATTTGCAAAGCTAAGAAAAGGGAGACGAACGAGAAGAAAAGGGTGCGGCGGACTCAGCATGTGCAGCGGAGGTAGCCGTAGCGTGATCAGGGACTCGGGGTCATCCTCGCCGCTCCCCCACCCCCACCGCGGCCACCGCCACCGCCGCAGAGGCACCCGACGGACGTCCCACAGCAGTGGGAGCGTGCGGAGCCCCGCAGGGCCGTTCACGTGTGGCAGCACCATGGCCACAGTTGGTGTGGAGCGCGCAAAGTCCCAGGGAACGTGACCTGGTGACGAGGGTCACAAGCCACCCACTCAGGTGTTTGCTGGGACCCCAAGTGGTCGAGCTCCTCCCAGGAGGCACAGATTTGCTGTGGGGCACAGATGGGGTGGCAAACCCGCCCTTTGGGCACCACCTGGGGCCCCTGCGGGCAGACCTGCTGCCCCCCACGCGGCCTCCCGCCCACCTGCAAGTCCGTGTCTGATTTGTCAGTGGTTCACGGGGCCCTCGTCCAAGAGCTAGTGAGACCCGCTCGGCTTGCGAGAAGTGGCTCAGCCCTAAATTAACTTGAAAAGCTCTCAGATGTAAGTCAGCGTTTGGATCCAAACCACCAATTTTTCAAGTCGGCTCCATTCTTGGCCAACAATGGCCTCCATCCTGGCGGTGTAGCCCTGAGCTTGGGGTGCCTGGAGGGAGGGGTGTCAGGGACGGGCTGTTTGCGTTCTTTCTGGCCTGAGCTTCGGGCCTCAGGAGAGGCACCCCACTTGCCGTCCTCGGAGCCCACTCACCACCGTTCCTGTGTCCCCGCAGGCTGGAATCCGCAGCCAGTAACCCTGCGACCAGTGACCCCTATGCGGACCGGGCCTCAGCGAGAGCCCGCCGGGAGGCCCGGGAGGCCCGCCTCGCCTCCCTGACCAGCCGCGTGGAGGAAGGCAGCAGCCGGGACTACAGAAAAGTAGGGGCCTGTCCGCCTTCCCACCCGTGGGTCACACCCGCAGCCTCCTGGCCGTCCCCACGGTCTGGGAAATGCGTGCCGCTCTGGCAAAGCAGGAGATGGTGCTTGGGTGACAGGCGGTGGCACCTGGCTGCTCCTCGTGTGGCTTCAGCGCAGTGAGCACGTGCCCGTGGGACTCGAGACTGTGACGGGAGGAGGGGCGAGTCCGCTCATCCTGGCCCCGCGGGTCTGCCCTGCTGTGGCTCTCACGAGGCCCTTGGGGTGCTGGGGACAGTGTGTGGCATGCAGGGTGCCCCTTCCATCTCGCTGGAACATCCCCAGCTCTGGGCCAGCCGACAGCCCGCCCTTTCGAGCGCTTGAGACGCAAACACTCGCTGAGGGGCGGTCTTGTCAGTGCTGGCTCAGCGGAGCTCGGCCACAGTCAGCAGCACGGCCTCTAGGAAATGCCCTCTCGTGGGGACTGCGTCTAAGCAATGCAAGTGCCCCGAGGGACACAAGGCATCCCCAAGGCGCCGGAACCCCGCTGTCTAAGCCCTGGGCACCCGGACGTGTCCTGTGCCGGACCCCCTCCTCCTCACAGCTGCCCAAGTGTGACAACCAGGGGCAGGGCCCGTGGGCGTATGGGGACGCTGGGGTGCCGGTGCTGGGGGGAGCCTCGAGGTGACCCGGTCTCTTCCCCCGTCCCCCAGCTCTACGAGAGCGCCCTGACCGAAAATCAGAAGCTGAAGGCCCAGCTGCAGGAGGCCCAGCTGGAGCTGGCGGATGTGCAGTCCAGGCTGGAGAAGGTGGCCCAGGTGAGGGGGCCGGGGGACGGGAAGGAGACACGAGTGAAAAGCGGCCCCCCTCAGAGACGGGCAGAGGGCCGTCGGGTTCTGAGCTGACCGCAGGGTCAGTCAGCGTTTAACTGGAGTGGAGAGTGGCTGGTTCCACGACCGTCTGGTGGCCTGACCGTGACCACTGATAATCACTCCTGAGCCTGAGCTACTCACTTCTGAGTGGGAAAGCGTGGCCCACGTCGCCATTTCTGCCTGTGGGTCACGTCGCAGCCCAGCTCATCTGCACACTACCTCCTGTGGTGGACACGAGCTCCACTGAACCTGTGCAGGGACGTCACGAGTTAGGCCTGGAGAGGGGGGGTCCCCTAAGAGAGGGAGGACTGTCCTGTGGCACGTGCCACCCCCAGCCACCACTGTGTCAGCCTGGAGCAGGCTCGGCAGTGCCGGCCCCACCGGGCCTCACTAATGCAGTGGCACTTAGAGCTGGAGGTGACAGCCTCGTCCCCAGGGACACAGCCAGGCAGGTGAGCCCAGGGCTCTCACGTTGGTGCCGAGGCGCCTGGGACTGAGTCTCGGAAGCTAAGCTGACGTAGACGTGGCTGCGACGCAGCCCAGCCGGGAGCGGAGCGGGAACGCTCAGCTGTGTAGCCGGCGTGTGGGTTTGGGGCGGGGTGTTAAGCCCTCACTTGGGGTTCCCGACAGGAAAGCCAGGACACCCCCACTTTTCGGAGAACGGCTTGGCCAGGCGGCAGATGCGTGGCCTGTCCCGCGCGCTGCCGCCATGTGGCTCTCCCCCGAGTCCCTGCGACCACAGCACAGGCGATGGCGGGTTCGCCGTGACTCCGGAGAACACGCGAGTGGGTCTCAGACTGAGATAAACGCACGAGTCAGGGTGGACCAGACCGGCCTCAAGCGGCACTGTGACCCCAGCAGCATCCCCGAGGCAGGCCGGCTGCGGTGGGGACATGCAGGCCGTGCTGGGTCTCGGCACGTGGCAGGGCTGGAGGGACGCCTGCCCACGCCACACGCCCGAGGCCACGGAGCACACACAGGGCTTGAGAGACCGTCCTGCACAGTAGCTTTCTGGCCGGCTGCTTGCCACGGACATCAGAACAGACTTTGCTCTGCCAAGTCCCAGTTATCGAAATCGGGCAGAATCGGGGCTGCTACAAAGCAGGTCTCCGCTATCAACAAAGATGGGACGCCAGGCAGGACGGGCTCAGCTGCGCGGAGCCGTGGCCACACAGCGGCTCTGCTGAACTGCCCGGGGGGAACTTCGAGGAAACGGCGCCGGCCAGCATGTATCGCAGCCCCGCGGGAGCGGACTTGCGAGGGCAGGGACAGCACGGGGCCACCCGGCCCCTCCCTCTTCCTTCTGCTGCAGCAGGTGACAGCTGTGGCCCCAAGGACGGGAGCCCAGGGTGGAGCCAAAAGCTTGAGCTTCACTTCGGTTCTGCTTTTCCTTTGTTTTTTGAAAAAAAAGCTGTGTGAGCCGACAGGTTTGTCTAGCGCGTCCGTGCCTGGCACCGGGCGGTTCACACACAGTCGCCCTGAACACGCCCAGTGTCTGTCGGCTGCAGGAGTCCGTCCAGCCCTCGAACGCAAGGCCAGAGCAACGTCGGGTTTGTTAACACCCTCGACCGGACGTTGCTCTGCCCGACAGCCGTGTGGCCAACCCTTCTCGGCCCCTCTGCAGACTTAACTGAATGTGAGGCGGCTCTAATGCGGAGCCCTGGCTTCTGCTCAGCTGCGTCGTAGGCGCATGAAGCAGGCGAGCGCGCCGGCCCCGCTCAGAGCCACGTGGATGTCATGAGGGGCCTGGGGGCCCCGAGCGCCCGCTGCCATGTGGAAGCCCCAGCTCCTTTCCCGTGGGCAGTGACGTCACTCATGGAGAGGACGCGGGAAGGGCGGGACATGGGGGACGTGGGGGACGTGGGCACTGTGGGCCCAGAGAGGGAGGGTGGGGTGTCTGTGCTGCGACCTGAGGTGTCGGGAGAACTGTGCCCACCTGTCCTGCCGCAGGAGCTGCAGACTCGGGCCGTGGCGCGGGGCTCACAGACCCCGCAGAACGCGGCTGCTGGGCACAGGCCCGGCGCGTGCGTGCCGTCCAGGGCCACGGGCCTGACAGCGTCTCCTCTCCCTTGCTCCACAGAGACAAGAGAAGACGTCTGACAGGTCCTCGATGCTGGAGGTGGAGAAACGGGTACGAGCCCCTCCCCGCTTCGCCCCACATTCCGAGCGCCTGACCTGGAGCCCGGCTGAGAGGCGGCGGCGGCCACACCCGCCCAGCTCGCTCGCTGGCTCGTCCTTGTTGTCTGACTGCAGCTATCTGACTGCTAGGCCTTTGGCTGCCCATGGTCCTGTCTAGCCGTGGGGGCAGGGTCCTCAGAAGGTGACATCATTGTTCTGCCTGTAGGCAGACCTGTCCCCAGCACACGGATACACACAATGCACACATATACGGACACATACACGTGAACATGCACACACACACGTAGACATACATGCAGACGTGCACAGATGCACGCACATGTATACAGACACGTGTGCACGCATGCAGTTGCATGTATGCATGTGATCTTGCGTGCATGTGCACTGCATGCGTACACATAGGCACGTGCACACGTATACAGACATGTACACGTGTGGGCACTTGCATGCATGCACACGCACACAGACGTGCACACACACATGCGTGTGCGCACACGGGGTCAGTCCCTGCCCTTCCACGCACCGTGAGCACAGGAGGCTTCTGCAAGACACCTGCCATTGGTCCGGCCTTAAGACTTGAGAGATGAGCCAGCAGCGAATAAGGGCCCGGAGGGGTCTGTGTCGACAGCTGACCTCCCGGCTGCATCAGAATGTTTTCTGGACACTGACGTTCTTGGGTGGAAAGACTGATTTATCGATGAGCCCTAGCTTTGACTCGACCCTGGGGCCAGAGCATATTCCCTTCTCCTGTTTGATCTGGAAAGCTGCTGTTTTGTGTTTCATTCCCTCGGCCCGTAGCAAACCTCTGTGGTCCCTCATCTAATGAGGGAACCTGCTGGGTTCAGGGGACATCAGGGTAAGGGACATGGGTGGGGGTGGGTGCTGCTTGTTCACCTTCTTCCCTGGGAACTGGGGCAGCATGGCAACAGGTAACGATGCCTTTTTGAGCAAGGATCCTGGTCTCGGAGCCATTTGACATTCCAAGGGCGGCTCGGGGCCCGGCCTCACCCCATGTGCACGTTTCCGGTCGTCTGGCGGGAGATTCGGAGACTGTGGCTCTTGTCAGGGAAGCCGGGTCACATGTCGCTCACACCTCCTGGGTGCGGTTTACCGGGGTCTCGACCCTGGGTCACATGGCGGTGGGGTGGCATTTGAGTCCCTTCTAGACCCACGGGGTATTGAGCGTGTCATCTTCACACAGGAGAAACGCGCCCTGGAACGGAAGATGTCGGAGATGGAGGAGGAGATGAAGGTACGCTCCCTCCCCGGTCCTGCCGGGACTGAGCAGCCGAGCGCCAGCCCCGGCACACATCGCTGCGCACGCCCCCCAAGAAGAGCACATGGGGTCCCCGGGGGCGTCTCCAGCAGGCTCAGGGCAGACTGGGTCCAGCAGTTAAGGTTTCCCAGCCCTGGCGCTCCCCAAGGTGCTGGCGGCTCTAGCTCTCCGGGCCTCAGGAGGGGCCCGTGAGCTCACGGCAGCCAGGGTGCCCCCCGCACTCCCCCGCACCCGTCCCTGGCGGGAGGGTGCAGACCGAGCCCGTCCACACAGTCAGGGCCCGTGCTCCTGCAGAAGGCTCAGCCACGGGCACGCTCCTCCATCCCCTGCCGACCTGCAGTGACCACCATTATCAGCCACTTAGGTGGACAGCTGCCCTCCAGGCCGCCTTGAGGGCTGAGAACTGGCTGTGTCCCCAAAGGAGCTGATCCCTGCCATGGAGGGGACACAGCTGCTCAGGGCCACCTGGTGGGGTCCCGGGGTGCCCAACCCTGCCCTGCATGACCCCCCTGGCACCTGCTCAGCTTTCTGCCTCCCAGGGTCCTGTTTTACGGGTATTAGGTTCAGGGCTTGCAGCGGGGGACACTCCGGCGTCCCTGGTATGCCCCTGGGGAGACGTGTTGCTGGTTCACTGGGGAGCAAGGCCAGAGTTCGCACAAAGGGCAGGCTCACAGCAGCCCCACCCTGACGTCCGAGCTCTGTGGTCACTCCCACAGACCTCAGAGCGCAACGCCTTCCACCTCTGAGCCTGGGTCAGGACAGTGAGGGGCAGAGGTGACCGGCAGTTTGCGCCAGGGTGGTCAGAGCTGCCTGACCCCACGCTTTCCCACCCGGGCTTGGCCAGCCACCCCGTGCGCCTGTCCAGAGCATGTGCAGCCAGAGGCCCTGGCGCTGTCTGTGGGGCGCCTGAGGGACAGCGTCTGCTGTCAGGCGGCCATTCGCGGTGCTCACCAGGAGGTGGCCTGGTGCTGCCCAGAACCAGGCAGGGGACGCCAGAGCTGGTGCCTCTGATGGAGCCCGGCCAGCCTGGGCCCACGGTCATGGGCATGCCACGTCATAGACCCTGACAGGCCAGAGGGGCGGCCAGGCTTCCTCAGCCCGTCCAGCTCTCGGGGGCAAGTGTGGGAGCCCCGTCTGGTTCCTGCCACCCAAGTCCTGTGGTTGTGACAGGCTGACATGTTGCTCCGTGTCCCCGTCCTGCTGAGCCGTGGTTTCCTAACCAGGTCCTGAGTTCTCTGTGCTCAGCAGAGATGATGACGCATGGGACTGTCCGCCGTTCTCGGTCCTAGGTCAGTTGTTGCCAGCTCCTTATTCACTTCGAATTGCCAAAGAGCCGGACAGTGACTGGTGACACCCCAGACCAGTGGCTGCGTGTGCGTGAAACCAATCGGCCCAGTGGGTGCATCACCCCCAAGGCCAGCCACAGGGGCACGTGGAGAAGCAGCACTGCCTGTAAGGCCTCTGGACTGACCCTTCGCTTGGCCAGGGCCCAGCATGGGGCTCGCGGTCGTCCGCCACCCCAGGGGGCCAAGGGCGGGGCATTCAAGCCCCCATTGGCACCAGGCCTGTGACGTTTATGCCTGTGCCTCGTCTGGAGGCAGAAACTTGAGATGTGTACGTCCAAACTTCGTAAAACTGGTGTGACAGTCCCGATGGAGTCTGAGGAAGTGCTCGCCTCGTTTCCAGGCCCCTCTTCCAGACCAGTGGGTGGTGACCACAGGCCACAGGTCTGTGTCTGGGGAGCTGGCCAACAGCACAGGCAACTGCCTTGTCCAGCCTGCGACCCGGCCGAGCTGAGGGCCAGCTGGACCCGTGCTGATCACATACGCAGTTACACCGACCCTTCTTGGAGCAACTGGTCAGAAGCAGGTGGACGGCTGGCCTCCAGCGACCCCTGAGATGGGTGCTCAGCGCAGAGTGCCCCTTGTGCCTGTTCTGATGCAGCAAATCGAGGGCCGAGGCCAGGCGGGACGAACGGGAGCCGTGAGGGGCGTGAGGGCCCCGTGGTGACGCGCGCCTGTCTGCCTTGACTCGGAAGGGAGCGCCTGTGTGCCGGGGCCACCCTCGCCGCCGGCCGTGGCGGGGCGTGTGCCGCATGAGCTGCGCTGGGCTGGGCTGCGCCCGCGCCAAGCCCAGTTGCATCTGTGCTGCTGCCCACTCAGCCCCAGCCCCTCCCCGGGCCTCGCATGTGGCCGGCAGCCGGTTTGCTTTTGGGCGGTCTTGGGTTCATCTTGCTGACTCGGACTTGTCACCAGCTGACACTCCGAGCCCTGCGCGCCTGCTCTGTGCCTGCTCCGTCTGGAACGTTCCGCCAGGTGGCTCCCTGCCTCGTGCCCTCAAACCCGCCCGCCTCGATGGCTTGTGCTCCATGCGAGCTGGGCCACCTCCACAGCTGTGACCACTGCGGTGCCCTGGGAGACGAGGCCCAGTGCACAGGCTTTGGCCTGGCTGGCCCTGTGCCCGTTAACTGCTCCTGTGTCAGCCGTGGTCCCTGCTCTGCCCTCTCTGCAGCCAGCGGGGTGGCCTGCTCCCTGGTCCTCGATGGTGACATGGGACTCGGAGCCCGAGCTTTTCCCAAGCTGGTCGTCCTCCCTCTCTGGGGACAGATCGCAGCAGTTTGTCCCCGCTCGCTCTCTCTTCCCTGACCCCCTGTCTCTGCCTCGCATTTCTGCACCCTCACTCCCGGCAGCCGCGGCCACTGACCCTCCTTTCCGCCCTCATCGCACGGGTGAGAGACTGTCCTCTGCTCATGCAGCCCGCAGGACTGTCCGCCGCATCTGCGAAGCCCGTTCACGGGAGAAGCCGTGGTCGTCCTCAGCTTTAGGGTCAGCGCAGCTGACCCCTTAGGAAGGACAAGTGACAGCGAACAGGCCATTTAGTGATGTCACCAGGTCCTTTTGGGAGTGAGGTGTTAGTGGGGACGTCCGTGGGCTGGCTGTTCTGTTCCACGTGCAACTCTGACTCGTACACCAGTCCAGCCACTTCGTCACCGGGGATGGCAGGGGTGTCCCCTGTGAGGGCATAGCCGCCAGTGCCGGAGCGCCTGCGGTGGACACCTGTGCGCACCCGGAGCTGTGAGCCCGCGGTGCACAGAAGTGGGGTGCAGGCCAGAGTCCTGGAGCGCTCGCGCACCTGCCCCGTGCAGGTCAGAGGTCGGGCCGTCCTCGTGTGTGCCAGCGCCACCCCGAGCAGCATATGCCTCGTGCAGCACGCGCTGACTCGGCAGCACCCCCTTTTATTTGCTTCGTTTTATTTCTAAAGATGAAAACAGATCAAGGTAGCGAGAGAGCACCCAGGAAGAGGGCGGCGTGCGGGGCGAGGACAGGCGGCTCCTCGGCTCCGCCCCGCGGTGCTGGAGGTGCCTGAGGCTGTGGCCCAAGCAGCC